GAGCCTGAGCATCTCTGTGGACCAGGTGCATCAACAATAAGTGTTCAAGGAAAGGTGACTTTAGGAACTGTTTACATGGTGCTCGGGGCAAGTTTAAAGTCACATGGGAATGACATCTGGGAGCATTTTTTCGGTGGGAAACTTTCTTGTAAAGAATGTAGGTAATTTTTTACTTGATTCTCAGCAACATATAAAGTATACAGAAATTGGTAACAACATACACCACAAAATCCATGAGTCTACTTAATCAACATGCACCACACGGATGGCTAGAGTTTATTTTATTTATCGGATACGGACTACCAAGAGGCAAGGCTGGAGAGAGCAGGTAATTTACAGGTCCACTTTTAGTGAGGTCCCAAGTTATTCTTTCCAAGACTGCATTAAAACACTCCAGTATAAAAAAAAAAGTGAACCATACTGAACGCACAGCGCCCTCACAGTCAGAACCGCAACCGTGGTCACTCACTCTCAGCTGCGCAAGCTCGAGACGGTCCAGGCACACTGCAGACAGATGAGGCGTGCAACGACCTCAATGAGAAGGACGAACACGGGGTCTGGCGAGGTACTCCTGCCACAGTGGCAAAGCAGGGACAAAACACAGGCATCAAGTGGGACACAGACCCTAACCCACCTACGAAGGTGGGCACTCGTAACAGAGAACTGATAAGGGCCCTGAGGAATTCCTCCGCCGAGACTCAGCATATTTTCCTGTAACTGGAATTTAATCATGATGCATAGTATCGCAGATCTTCTGTGGACAGAAAAGTTCTCAAGGCAAGCATGCAGAATCCATGAGCTACACTAGGCTTTAGGAATAAAGATGCTTTGATGTGAAGGATTTTAACTTCTGCTACTCCCACTTAATCATTTTCTTTCAAAAGTTATTTTATGTTTTTTAAACAACATACTTTATGTAAAATATAAAAATAAAGATACATTCTCAAGGTCAGATTCAGTGACAAAGCATGGCTGTGCATTTACTCCTTGCCACATCATTAGGCTGCACATAAAACCGCAAGGCTGCGGATGTTTGGTGACCCGTGCAGTATGCTCACGAAGCTCAGGTAAACAACCAGATGTCCCTTAGAGCCTATCCTGGTTACAACAGACTTCTCTACAAAAGTCAAAGCACCTACCACGACGGCTGCATCTAACCGTGCTGTGCAGTGAATCGGGTCAGGACACGTACAAGCCAGGAGCTAAGCACAGCTTTCCTGGGCTTCACGTGTGGCGACACCGCTCCGTCCCAGGGCTTCTCCCTGCACAGCAAGCTGTTGCTAAGGGGGCATTTCAGGCTGAAATTCGGATAGTCCCTCTCAGTGAGAAAGCTAAAAAAGCCCTCTCTGGAGTTTCCAATCCTGCAAATGGCGTGCTCTCAGTCCTCAAGCTAAACGCCAGGAATCAATGAATCGCTGAACAGCCTCAGGCTGCAAACAATAAAACTGCTGACTACAGAGACAGGCAACCTTGAGTGACCACATTTTGTGCGAAGACCTGTGTAGAGAAAACTGGCTTTGCTGCTCTTGAGGTGATTGTGACTTTTACATCTTAGAAGGGCTGCATGTCTTTCTATTGTAGAGACTTCTGGACTAGATAAAAGTTCACAATGTTGCTTAAAAACAAAAATACATAGCCTGGAGAAGCTATCCAAATACTTAGCCGTCTGCAGGTTTTCTTTTCCTTTCACATTTTACTTTTGTGGTTGGCATAGGGAAAACCAAACTGGGAAATCATAATGTTGGAGTATTTTAACGGCATGTTGTCGTAGATTTTAACAAGCTTATTTATACAGTAAGATCGCTGCAGGAAGTGCTCGGCTCGATGCCACATTCCGGAATAGCCGCTGTTGGTTTCTTTCTCGGAATTGACCATGTGTACAGGTTTCACAAACAGCCCCGAGGCCTTCCCAGTGTGCCTAGCAACGATAAAATTCATGGCGATGTCGTCACAGTTTTGGGTTTCGTCTATTAAAGCATGGATGGCTGCGGGCTGGTTCTGGAAGAGCTCGAGATAGCTGCTGCTGAAGAACGCAGCCCCGACCAGCACCAGGGAGTACTGGTCTCCACTGCCAAAGCCCGGCGTCTGCAGTTCAAATCCTCCGTAGCTATAAATACCTGACGACGTAGAGACATGCTTTCTCGGCACAAATCCTACGATTTGGTCAGGAAATTGCTGGAGAGAGGGAAAAGGAAATTAAGTGTGGCATTTCTTTAAACTGGCAGTAAAAAAGGACATTAAGTACAGAAAAAATGAAACTGATTTGTCAACTTTTCCTTACTACTCATTTCTAATCTTAATTTCATCTAATTCCAGACAACTTCATAAATCTGTATCCTAACTTTACAAGTCAAATTCCATAAGCCAACTCTCAGAAAGAAAAAAAAGCTCTAACCTCCCACAAATTCCCCTAATTTTAACATCATCTGACCCTAACAAATTCCAGCCACTGAAAGGTCTTGTCCTTCACAGCTTGCTGTGAGAAGCTGTTTGCAGACGCTACTTACTGTAGGCGATACGGTGCAATGTGGTCATTTGGAAACCTTGTTCCAGACTCTATGGCATATATAAAATTAGAGTTCTCTCTCTATAATTTTACTGTTTTTCCATATTGATTTTAATGTTTCTGCACGTTACTAGTGACTTTAAACATTACAAGCACTTTTATATTTCTATCCTTTTTAGATTGGGTATTTCCTTTTAAAAATAGAAACAAATGCAAAAATTGTAAATTATATACAATTGGTTCAAGCAATTTGGTTTGCAAACAGAAGTGTTTGGCAACATTTTATTTTTGTTTGCAAACTCTGAATCAGGTGACAAACACAATCACAGCCACCTTTTCCACACAAACCCAGACGTGGCAATCTTTTCCAAAATTGCAGAACAGATTTTAAGTTTGTGAACCAAGACATCGCTGTACATGCATGTAAATATAAATGTGTCAAGATTGTTGAGGTAAAGATAGTAGCAAAATTTCACAATATTAATGTGAGACTAAAATAAAACCCAAGCGAGCAAACAGAAGGAAAACCCTGCAGCACGGAGCACTCAGATCATCCCTGTGATGCTTCCTTTCGCTCACGCATCCAGCAGCCTCCACGGGCAGCACGCACACTCAGCCAGCAGGGCGAGTTAAGTCTCATTTCAAGGAACTCACAGTCCAGGGAAGGTATGGGGCACACACGGGAACAAAGGGACAATGTGAGAAAGCTGCCCATGTAGCGGGCATCTGAAGGGCGCGGAGGACGGAGCGACAGCTGTCTGTTGGAGGAACGGGCGAGGTCAGGAAGCAGCACCATGCCACGTGGACAGCGGCAGGCGCTCCCAGAGGGCCAGGGAGGAAAGGGAAGCGACAAAGGCGGCAGGGACGGCACATGCAGACGTGAGGACAGACGCAGCTCGGCTTGCTGGCTTCCCGCAGAGCGCTGCATACGCCAGGCGCTGCTCACGCGCCCCGGGAGCCAGCTGACCTCGAGCAACAGATCCCAACTGTTTCCGGTAATTTTACGAGTAAAACCTAATGTCATATTTACACCTCTTTATTTATTTTTTTTAATTTGCGGAACCAGGGATTGAACTCAGATCCTTGCACTTGCCAGGGAAGTGCTTATTCTTTTGAGCCATCTCCCCGGCCCCATATTTACACCTCTTGAATGACGGTTGACTAGCACTGCTTTAATTAGCCATAGTCTTCATAGTCTGCCTTCCACCATCTTTCCTTTTTGAGTAAACAGCTTTTTTAATCTTTCACAGAACTCTCACAGCTGAAGTATAATATATTAGAACTCTCTACCTGAGAAGCTTTAATTTACAGGACTTGAAAAACTGCTGTGGCCACTCACCCCAAATACCCGATGCTGTTATATCCCAAGTTGCTAATGAAGCACAGTTATTCGGTGCAAATCAGGCTGCGCGTTGGGTAGCACAGTGTCTAACCGTGTTACAGGGCCTCAGACTACCTGTATGCGGTTCTGGGTTCAGGGGATGGTGCTGCACTTCAGGAAAGCCAGGCAGGGCTAATCCACCTCCAACCACAGGGCAAGGGAGCAAGGAGGCGCTGCCTGTCCGAGCCAGGACCAGGGAAAGGCAAGGGCAGCCTGCGCGCGCCGCAACGGCACACGCAGTCACCACCGCAGGACCTGTACACGACAGGCTCAGAACCAGGACGACGTTTTGCAGCGGCGATAAAAACACGTATCTTACCTGAGATGCCTGCCTGCGGTCTGAGTAAAGAGCACCGTGTTCTAGTTTTGGCTTCTCAGATCGTTTCCCCATTGTTCTCTAGAAGGTAGCTCCAGTTCTCCTTCCCAGTAGCCACAGCTTGTGTCTGGCTGTCCCCTCAAGCCTCAAGCGCTCATGGCGGGCAGGCTTTTTGGAGGTGGCTGAATCTAGAGGTTGTGACTGGCTCGCTGTCTAGTGCGGGGACTGGCAGAGCGAGCGACTGCTGCTCCAGCGCAGGCAGCCCGCGCAGAAGGGCGGGAGAGGTCCTCGCTCTGCTCTCGCTGCTTCGGGCTCTCCTCGGCGCCCACAAGCTGCTGCCCCTCTGCCACACCACCTGGCTTCAAGCCAGCTGACTACGGAGAGCCCCTCAGCAAACTGTGGGCATAAATAAACCTTTCCTTCTTTAAGGCTGGGTGTTGGATATTGTCTCAGCAATGAGAGAAAAGTAACCAACGTAACAGTACAGTAAAATGTTAATTAAATGTGGTTAAATTATAACTTTAAGGTTGGTTTAGGAAATCCTGACTACCCTATAATAATTTCAGCTATCTTATCGATAAATAACAAAGTGCAATGGCTTGAGTAACGCCTTGGTTAGGCCACACTGGCCTGAATAAGTACTAGACAAAACTGCACAGCGGTTTCATGAAGAATGTAGCAACGTTACCTGCCAAACCGAGAAAGCAAAAACAAGGTCCTGGGCACTAATGAGTGTGTCATCATCTACCATCAGCACCGCTGAAAGGAAACGAGAAAGATCATGTTGAACAGCTTGCACAGGAAAATAAAAGTAGGTGGGGCGCAGTGGTGTCTACAGAGACTGTAAGTACAGTTCCTGCCCAACTAGTAAGTAAGAAATGTACTGGACAGATTTGTCTAGCAGCAAAAACCTTTCTGAATTATAATTGGTTTTATAACCGCTCAAGGGGACACAATCAAGCAAGTGTCATCCATCATCCTGGAAACAAATGATTCTATAAATAAATAAGTTTCTTTTAAGCCAATTACAACCTCAAGAAACTTAGAAACGGAGACAGTAACACAATAATGTAGTAAGCTAAGTGATGCCTCAGTATACCCTATAACGCAATGGTATTTTGATTATAGACAGCACTTCTTTTTGCAGTATCAGTATCTTTGTTATTGTAAGATCTATGTCATTTTCTCTCCAGTAAACTGCACTATCAGACCTCAGGAACTGCTCCTGTAAGCTTTCAAAGCATGTTCTTATGATTAACTTTCCTGTTTGCCTTGAGAGTGAAGACAAACAGCCCAAAATCCACACGCCCCTCCAGTTCCAAAGACGCGCCGAACCTGTGGCCTCACACACAGGCTCCACTCACCGCTGGTCTCCACTTCAGGGAAGGCCTGGAGACGATTCCTCATTCTGTTTGCCACTTGCTGTTTGAAGAGCACAGGGACAGGGTGAGGCCCTAGAGAATTCCACAGCTCGTCTGGTCCCTTCTCGCCAACGTTGTTCCATACCACAATCACTTTGTGCAGATGTGGCACCGCCTGGTAGTGATTTAACAGCCTCAGTAAGAGATCCGTTCTGTTGTACGTCTGCATGATGAGAGTAAAAGAATCCGGAGCGGTCTTGCCCTGGGATTTCATCTCCCTTCGCAAAGTGAGCATCTTGTCTTCTTTGATATTGGGAAGTAAATTGGTCAAGGCCCCAGCTACCAGGAGCAACACGAGGACGGCCACCAATGAGAAACGGAGCACCCGGACCCCCATCACTCTCCCAGGCAGTCTGCAGACGGGGCAATGCCTGGAACAGAGATGGGCACAGAATTCAGAATGCTAACACTCGTGCCAACCGTGCATTTTTAGGTTGTTTCTCTGGAGAAAAGTCAGTCTCAGATCAGGTCATTCAAATGCACTTGTCCTGTACCCACTGAAAGGTGATCTGGCCTAAGTGACAAAGGCACAGCGTAACACTCCTCTCCCTTTGGCCCTGCTTGTACAGTTGTGTGCAAACAATCTTGTATGCATCAAGTAAGAATTAAGCATTCTCAAGCTTGGCCTTATTTCATCACTGGTAATTTAGATCTCAAATTACATCTAAAATGGTACTGTATCTCCCACAGTAATAATTTAACATTTGTGTTTTAGTAGCAGACTTTCCCCCACATAAAGTCACACACAGAGCTGTAACACACGAAGCAGACAACGATGGGAACAGCAGCAGCAGCAAGTACTTCTGTTGCATTTCTGACTTGCGCAGGCCTCGCACTGTTTCACAGATTATATTACAGCGCACTCGTGGCAGGCACCGGTCCAGCTTTTACAGACACAGCAGTGGAGCAGGATGAGGTGTGTGCCGCCAGTACCCGAGAGCTGGGGAGGTGGACACGCACATCTGAGTGACCACGTAGGGGAGTGCTTGTGCAGAGAACACGACTGTGAGGAAAATAAACCAGAACTAGGTGACAAGCGAGGGCCAGCCCAGGAAAGGCCTCGACCACCTCAGCAAGGACACAGATCCCATTCTCTGTGACACGGAAAGCCATTCAAAGGTTGCTTAGGACAACCCTGAGATTTTATTATTATTATTATTTTCATTGAACAGTTCAATTGTGCACAGAGGTTGAGTAATTTCTGCGAGATTACTAGTAAGGGACCTAGAACTTTTATCAGGAAAAGCCTGGCCGCAGAGCCCCAGCTGCTCATCCTGGCACTGTGGTGGGTACCGCTACTGGGACTGCAAACCAGGAGGGCACGGCCGGCCCGCCCTGAGCTCCCGAGGCTCCCCATGCACAGCCCAAACCCCGGGCCACGCGCCAGACACTCACTCCTCACTCCCCAGCCCCCAAGGGTCCCCACAGATGGCCACAGAACAGCAGCGAGTGAGTGAGGAGAGCTCATGGCTTGGATGTTCACAGGCCAAAATGCTTTTTTTCAATCAAACTTCTCAATTGTGTACGTGAGAAAAGGCCCAACCTTAAGGTAGCTGATGCAGCCCTAGGCCCGATTACTGGCTTCGACACAGCTGTACTTCCATGCCTGCAGACTCCTACCACAGCACCGTGGTCCTTCAGTGATTTGCTTTTCACTCTTGTGATCGGGGCTGCTGACTCCCGGTGCCTTCCCCCTCCACGAGCCTCCACGACCCTTACGGACACGCTCTTAGCTTTTACTTGGCAACTGCCGCATCCTGTCCACTTCAGCTATGCAGGGCTTCCATCTGACATGACTGTGGCCACCTTAAGCTGTGACGGCTACAATTCCACAGAGTACCATGAGCAGCTTTCTAGCATACTGCAAGTAGACAACACACACAGGGGTGTGTGGAGCCACGCAGCCAGGCACGTGCAGGTCCAGGAGGGGCTGCTGCAGGGAGGCAGGGAGGGGCACCATCCCAGAGCTCGTCCAGGCATGCCAAGCGCAGCAACCTTGGTCGCGGGCTTTCTAGAGTTCCAAAGCTTTCTCTCCTGGACTTTTTGTGCAGTTTCTTTATTTAAAAAAGCAATTTTGTGTTTCCTGGCCTGTCATGGCTTCACATGAATAAAACAAATTACTTCTGAAGGAACCTCGGCTCTATGATGATTACCTTTCAAGGATAGTAATTTAAAGCTTTAGAGCACATTATTCTCATTTGATGTACCCGCCTACTAAGACAACACATGTTAAAACAGTCAGAGACAGAATTAATCGTCTTGATTGTGACCTGAAAATCCTTCCAGCACTGAATCAAAAGCATCTCATAAGCATGTTTTCAGTTCTGCATAAAAACAGCCAGTTATAAACCACAAAGTAAACAGCATTCTGACGGCACATTAAAGTATGCTAGGAAAAAAAGAAAGTATACTAGAGCAAGATTACTGCACTGAGATGAGGAGGAGCAGAGGAATGTAAAACTTAGATGGAAGGGCTTCCAGTCTCGCAAGGGGACAATGATGTGCTGTGTCAGATTAGTCTAGAAAAGTAATGAAGATTAATTACCACAGCTTGCTGTAAATACACACTGCCACAGCCACTCAGGAGTGACTGCTCCAATTCTATCCATACTTTGAAGGAGTGTATTCCTTGAACACAGCGTGGAAATGCTCTCTTTCACATAGCTTCTAATCACCAACTTTACCTCTATCAGAAAGGTTTCCAGAAATATGAATCATTTATGTTTAAAACGGATCATAAATATTTAATTTGGTATGTATTTAATACAGCAGTGCAATACCATTAGGCAAACGTTCTGGCTTGCACGGAAAAGTGAAAGCAAGGACAGCAGAGTGTGGTGCATGCGATACACTGTCCCTCAGGAGTGAGGTCTAGAACTACAGCAGCTCCATCGCAAGTGACTTCAGCACAGTGGGAAAGTAAGAATGACGGATACATGGATTTTGTATGTGGACTTTAGGTTCACAGCTTTCATCTTTTCTTTCCTAGAGAATGAATCTAGTACCTAATTCATAGCTTTGAGCTATAAATGGAAGATACAGGAGCAATCTAGATGCTCTCCCTGGAGCACAGCAAAGTTGAGATATCTCCAACTACTACTAGAACTCAAGGGAAACACTGCTGGTGTCGAGCTGGTAGATGTCCAGGGTGCCCCTAACACCTACAGCACCTCAGGCAGCCCCTAAGTAAATGGCTACCTGGACTAGCACACCAGTAACAGCAAGGTGGAGAAAGCCTGCTCCACATGCTGGTTGCCTAAGACACATTTGAAGCCACACGCTGGCAGCCTCTGAAAACCCTACTGCCACTTGTTATTTGCGAATAGTAAGGAATAAAGCCACATCTTGAACTGCCTCAATATTTACGTTTCTCACTGTATGTGTTTAATACAAACTCGGAGGACTGCAGAGACCTCAGAGCGTTCCTAAGCCAACTTGCTTGGTTCACAGATGAGTCAGGGTCCAAGGACAGGGAGCTGCCTATGGTGATCCAGCTGCACAGGCCAATCAGCAGAAGAGCCAGGACAAGTCCCTGGACAGCTCAGCCCATGACTTTGTGCATGCTGTAGTAAATTCTCCAAGGATGCGGCAGAAAAGAAATATGGAATGTTGTTACTACAGTACCCGCAAGATAATCCAAAAATTAACACTTGGTATTTTGGGATATTTTACAGCTTTAAGAAGATTTTACCTATCATACAATTCATTCAGTTTAGTTGTTTTCAATATACTGAAGAGTTTCAGAAACATTATCACAATTTTAAACCTTTTTAACTCCCCCAAAATAAATCCAGACCCCTTGGCAGTCACTGCCCTTTCTACTATCTCCACCTACCACCCTCTACCCCACCCGAGTCAGGAATTCACTGTGTTTCCATGGCTGTGCCTGTTCAGCACACTACCTCGGAACAGAATCACAGAGTATACAACTACTGTATCTGGACTGCGGAGACAGCTCAGTGGCACAGGACCTGCCTGGTAAGCACAAGGTCTCGGCTTTGATCCCAGCACAAAAAAAAAAAATGGAGTATCCTTCTACTCTCAGGTCTGTGGCCAACCTACCCGATAGGCAAGAGATGTCTCAGATCTCTGGTTCTGTGCATCTTTCCATATATATTCTTCATCAAAGTATCTTTGGACATCCTTGTTTCAACAGAAGCTCTTGGGTAAAGGAGCCAACTTGCTGTGGGGGAGATGTCATCCTTTGCTAAGACAATGTTATCCTTGTGAAGACTTAGGGAATAACCTGAAACTTTATACATAATCAGATAGGCAGCATAATGTTTGAAATATAAAAAAAAGGTCTAACTTGGTTGATCAGTGAAAATTTGTTTTGGTTCCTAAAGTGACAAAACCACACTGTAGTGGTGGCCACCTCGGGTATGCACGCTGCAGCACGCGGTCAGCTCTAAAAGGTGCGCCATTACTGCTAGTATAGTAAGCCTTTTTTCCGCTGATTTTTTTTTTTTCCAAGTACAGGGGACTAAAGCTAGGACCTTCACACTGAGCCATAACCCCCAACCCTTTTTACTGAGACAGGCCTCACTAAATTGGCTCCCAGGGTGCTGGGACTCAGGTATGTCCTACCACAGCCGGCATCCATTAAATTTTGAGCAGCATAATCTAGAACTTGCTTACTTATAAAATACTGGGTGGCTAAAATAGTACATAAATGTTATTTTTCTTCACAAATATTTTCCAGATGCTGTATAATACTCTGGGAAGAGTGTCAGACTTAGGGATTTATCCATATCCAGAAAATTTGTTCTTTTCACTGTTATTTTAGAAATGCCATGTAGCTCTCCTCATTTTCCACCAGTTCTATCCTCATTGTCTTAAATGATGTTTTCGTACCATCTGGGATAATGTCATCCATCTCTTCTGCTTGCTGGATAAGTGGAGATACACTTGGTAATTGGGTATTGTATACAGAATTAAAGTCTGTCACTTTTAAAAAGCCTACTCTTGCCTTTACTATGTTTTTGAAATCTCGGCTCTTGAACCATACTGTTAAGGCATATTGAGAAATAGCTACATTTACGGCAGCGTCCTATCTGCACAGATGAATGCTACTGCGGCAGGTCACTTCTCAACACAAGCTGTGGGATGGTTTCCCACTGGTTACATTCCCTATCAGTCCTCCTGCCAGCAGCCTGGCTGAGCGAGACACATTTTCATGGTAAGTCAGGTTAGCCCCGTTTAGGGCGCTGCCAGTCACGTGTGCCCGTGTCCCCGCGTCGCGTCCCCACCCCCGTCACGTGCCCGTGCCCCACGGCGCGTCCCTCGGTCACGTGTGCCCGTGTCCCCGCGTCGCGCCCCCATCACGTGTGCCTGTGCCCCGCGGCGTGTCCCCTGGTCACGTGTGCCCATGTCCCCATGTCGCGTCCCCTGGTCACGTGTGCCCGTGTCCCCGCGGCGCATCCCCCGGTCACGTGTGCCCGTGTCCCCGCGGCGCATCCCCCGGTCACGTATGCCCGTGTCCCCGCGGCGTGTCGTCACGTGCCCGTGTGCCCGTGTCCCCGCATTGCGTCCCTCCGGCACGTGTGCCCGTGTCCCCGCGTCACATCCCCCCCGTCCCGTGTGCCCGTGTCCCCGTGGCGCGTCCCCCGTGTGCCTGTGTCCCTGCGTCGCGTCCCTGTCCCACCTCCCGCCCACATCACAGCTGCCCCTCAATCCTGGCATTTTCTGTTTTGTTTTCTTACACAAAGCACTCTGGTCTTTCTCAACACTGCTGCCAACTTACTCATCTATTTTACTGGCTTATGGGGAACCAGTTGTAAAATATTGTTAAAGCATCACCCTCCCCTTTCAGGCCAGCTATGTATCACTGAGATAATGAGGTCCTCTCCGTTTTCTAAGTACGCAAGAATGAACTAGGAGATGAAAGCTCTTTCCACGCGTGCAGCCTTCCTTCTGCGACTGCCAACTAACTGCAGCTACTGACGAGGGCGGTACCTGGGATGACCAATCCATAGGACATACGCCACGCATGGCCTGGCGCCTCAGAGGGCACGGATGACTTGTGAGAATCCAAGGACTCAGGGCATCCTCAGAAGAGAGTGAGGAATAGGAAAGCATTTGTAGCTTAGCACTGCACAGTGCAGCGCAAAATGAGCTTCAGAAATGGGTCAAAAAGAAACCAAGTACATCTGCAAATGTACTACTTTTATTCTAAGATATGGGAGGGGACTTTTCAGTGAATTGCTGTATTAGACACAAGAAAATGAGGGGGGCTGCTAGGCTACAGATGCTTAGAATGTTCCACAAAACCTTCTCTCTTTCACCCAGAATTGTTTTCAGCACCTTGCAAAACCCTTATCTGAAACAGATACCATATATATGAATTATGGCTTATGAATGATTTCAGATAGCAAATCGAAGATGGAAACAGTCCCAATTCATGTGTGCTTTCTTGCTGTTCTAGAGGAAGCTCACCATGCTCATGCTGGTCCTGGCAAGGGGTACTTACAGGTGCCCACCACACACCCAGCCTGGAAGGTGCAGTGAGTGGGCACACGGTGCCGGTCCTCACGGAGTGCAGCGCGTCACCCACACCGTCGGAGCGCTCCTTTCCTCACATTCGCAGTACATACCTCTCATCAGGTTCAGATTTAGGAAGGAAAATAATATATACCCAATCCACTTTGCAGAGAAGGAGCTAAGACAGACTACTACCTGAACTCCCTGAGCCGCAGGAAGACAGTGGGTCAGAACCAAATGCCTGACTTGCACTTGAGCCCCTTTGTGTCATCCCTGTCCTTTGCCTGGCTTCTATTTTTAACTTCATTTTAGCCTTTAAGAATTCTAAATTTATAGGTGTGAGAGCTGTACAGTTCATGCTTAGCATGTGGGAAGCCAAAAAACAAAAATACAAACCAACATCTGTATTGATTTCATTCTATAATCAGACTAGCATTCCAATGGATCCACACTGGAAGAAATGTTAACGCTATTTTCCCAGTTTTCACTCAAGTAAGGACTTTCATTTTCAAGGAACAAAACCACTCCTTTTTTTTTTTGGCCAGCTCAGCCCACCCTAAGGATGGGGCCGGAGCAGCATGTTCAACTGGGGGTTGAACTGTGGTCTCCTGCGCCTGCCTAAACTTGCCTACGCAGTTGCTACCTCACTGGCTCCTTCCTTCTTTCTTTCCTTTTTTTTTTTTTTTTTTTTTGAGATAGGGTCTTACTATGTAGTTCAGGCTGGCCTAGAATTGATTATGTAGCACACGCTGGCCTGGAACTTGGGACATAATCCCAAGGGCTGGGATTATGCCCAGACACGTGTCACCATGCCTGGCTAAAACATTTCTGTACAAATACTTTTTCTCAGATCTGAAACACTGCTATTTCACCCATCTTCTCAGCAGCATTATTTGCAATAGCTCAAAGGTAGAAGCTCTCTAAATGTCCACTGATAAATGGGTAATCCCCATTCAGAAATGTGGTACATGTGACTTGTTATGGTTAGTATCTAGGGGTCTCCCCAAAGCCTCAAGCGGATGCTGGGGCAGTCTTCTCAAGTCTGTGATTAATTCATGATCCAATGCTGGCATTACGGGTACTGGTGCTACACTCACCCTGGGGCGGATATCCCAATAGAAGGGAGGGAGAGAGGCTCGCCTCAGCGCAGTCCCTGCCTTTTCGCTATTTTCACCACTATGAACTGCTGTCCTCTGCCATGTGCCACTCTGCCTGGAGGAGCCAAGGATGGACTGAAGCCTCCACAAACTGTGTGCGAAACCACCCTTTCCTTCCTTAATTTTGGGTGTCAGGTATTCTGTTCCAGCAATGATAGAAAAGTAACTAAGACATTATTCAACTTTAAAAAGGAAGCGGGCCGGCCAAATAGCTCAGCAGATTAAAGTGCCTGCAAGTAGGTGCAGGGGCTGGGGTACAATCCCAGGGCCTGCCGTGCCTGCCCCATCCCCGGAAGCGCGCTGAGATGATAATTGAGACTGGGCATGGTGGCACAGCCTGTAAATCCCAGCTCTTGGGAGGCTGTAACCAGGTGGATCACTATAGTCTAAAATGAGACCCTGAACACCCTATCGACACTTCCCTAAAAAAATACTAAATAAATAAATAAAATAAAAAATAAAAAGGAAGAGAACTCTGACATCTGTGAAACTTGAGGACACTGGCAAATGAAAGAAGCTCAAAAGAAGAGGACAAGTAATACGTTAATATATGATTCCACTAATATGAGGTAGTAAGGACAACCAGATTCATAGAAACAGAAAAAGACTGGTTGCCAGGGGCAGGGGGGTAGAAGGAACTAAATTGTTGTTCGGTGGGTATGAGATTTCAGTTTTACAAGATGGAAACGTTTTAGAGATGAGTTTTAGATGACTATGTAAAAATTGTCGCTATTGAACCGTGCATTTAAAATGGTTGAGATGATAATTTGTTACATATATATTTCCACCCTTTTTAAAGCCAAAAATTATGCTACTTACCTCATTATGCTATTATTATTATTTTTAAAATAAGTAACTTCCTTTTGGATTCAGTGATTGACAGGAACAGGTCCTTGTGGCACTATGAAGAGAAATCAAAAAAGCTTTTTGTGATATTTTGTTTGTTCAGCAGGAAATTTTCAGAAACAGTGATTTCTATGCCACTGCCCACAGGCTTTGAACTGCTCGTACATCAGGAGTTGCTATTCTATATTTTAAGAATCACGTTTGGACAACTGCTATATGATGACCTCCTGGTTGATAATAACAATTTTGTTTTTCTCTTTCTCTTGGGGGGTCAAAAGCAGCATAAACTGATGCTGTCCCAACTATCTGCAAAACCAGAGTACATACACCATATAGCAAAGCCTCAGAACACATGCCCATTTTGCATCTGTATACAATTTCTAAATGTATGTGTATCTCCACCCACCGCTACAAAAGTTTTTCACCAGACGTTCACTGGACATCCAATTTGAAGCACACAAAAACCACTGGGTCTAAAGTAAGGCTACAGCGTAGTGCCAGGGTAGACTGCAGAGGGAGGCAGATGGCATCTTTCCCATTCTTGCTGACTACTGCTGGAAAGGGGCTTGTGGACCCCTGGCTGAAGACAAGCTTTTTGCCCCCAAATCTCTCCGCTTTCGATGGTGTCAATGAGACTTAATTTTAAGGGAGGGTCACTTGAATTCATTTAAACTATAGATAAACTCACTAACTCATTCCCTTCTCCCACATAGCTAACCATAAGCCCACTCAAGAGAAAACCAGGGTCATAAGATAAGAACAAAGAATTAGAACAACTTGCAGAATAGGGCAAACATTAAACCACACTATACCGCCCCATGACAGGCACGTGGTCAACAGTGTCTGGGAAATGTAAACCTTGTGGCAACTGTGACACTGCTGTAAAATTTTTGAAAACGAGAATGAATTAATGTGGTTACTATGGAAACCTGAGAAGTATATCACCGAGAGCAAAGTTCAGGCAAGCAATGGCATCTCATGGGTCCAGACTCGAGTGTCCAGGACATTGGTCACAGGCTGGCTCCCAACAAAAGCTTCCTAGTTCCTCCCTACTTGGTCTCTTTGTGGGGGCTTCGCTCTCTGTCATCTGCCACCACATTTTCATTACTCAGTCTTCAGTCATACGTCTGGGAAGTGTGGTTTTTAAATTTCCCCATAGAATATCACATTAGGTTATATTTAACCTAATGTGATAACTGACAATATAAGTACTCAAAAGAAGTATACAAAAAAAACCACACACAAAAAAAAGTATACATTTACAATTTTAAAATGTTCATCATTATATTCCATGATCTTACACATCCATGTCTACATACAATGGAACATATTACGACATGAAACTTTCAAGAGACTGACCACCTAAACAGAGCTGAAGAATCATTTTATCTTTCCTATGTCATATTCTTTATGACAGAAACCGGGGCC